ACCCCAACCCCACCCCAACCCCAACCCCAACCCCAACCCCAACCCCAACCCCAACCCCAACCCCAACCCCAACCCCAACCCCAACCCCAACCCCAACCCCAACCCCAACCCCAAAAAAATAAAATTAAAATCAACCCCAACCCCAAAAAATATAATAATAATAAATCCTACCTTAAATATTTTATTTTATAATTTTTTAAATAAATATTTAGATTAATAAATTTAAATAATTTTTTAATCAATTTAATATAATTTTATTAGTTTATGCAATAACAGTTTATTATATTTTAATAAAATATATATTTATTTTTCAAAATTTTTTATAATTTAATAAAAAATTGATATAATTTATTTTATTTATAAAAATTCAACTTTTTAATTATAATTTTTATAAATATATTATTTCATTTGCTTTATTTTTTTTTTTTTATAAAATATATATTTTTAAAATATTTGATATTTTATAAATTTATTTTTATTAATATAAGAATTTTTAAAAAAATCATATACATAATTGAGTTTTTTTATTTTATTAAATTAATTTAGTAAAAAGCAACTAATTGATTAATTTAAAATACATAGTTAAACAAAAAAATAAAATAAAATTAATTATTTTGATTATACTATTCTTTTACCATTAAATATTCAAAAATTATATATTTTTTTATTTTATAATATTAGTTATTAATATATATATATATAAAATACAATAATTAATTAATAAAATTATACTTTAATACATAGCTAATTATATTTTTTACAATAATCTAAAAAAAATTAATTCTTTAATTTTTTTAATATCTAAATTAAAATTATATCTTCAATTATGAAATTAATTAAGTTTGTGCCTTTTATTCTATAATAAAATTATTTTTTATTTTAGTTTATATTTATTTTTTTAAAAAATTTAAAATTAAAATTAAATTTAATTAAATAAAATGAGTTAAAAATAAAGAATATTTTTTTTTTTAATTATTTATTTTATATTTCAATTTATTGCATTGTTTACCTATACTAATGGCTTTTTATTCTAAAAAAAGTACTTCCATATAAAGGTGAATAAATTAAATTCTAAAAAGAATAAGTAAATAGAATAATAATACTAATTATAGATGCCTTAAGATTTGATTTTGTATTAAAGTATAAATAAGAAGATATATAATATGAATTTTAAAACTAATTTCCTATTATTTTTGAAAAAATTGAAAACGAGTTCAATAATACATTTTTATTAAAGTCATATTCAGATCCTCCAACAATGACTGTAATAAGATTAAAAGGAATGTTAACAGGAAACTTGCCATCATTTTTTGATGCAAAAAACAACTTATTTGAAAATAAAGTAAAAATAAAAAAATATTAAAAGTAAAAATATAATTATATGTAAAGTTAGAAGAAGATAATGTTATATAATAAGCAAATCTTAATAATATTTATTCAGTATTTATGGGAGATGAAAATTGGAAATTATTATTTCCAGATATTTTTAATAAAGCATATTTTTATGATAGTTTTGACACCGAAGATTTCACAACAGTGGATGACGGAGTAAGAAGTCATTTATATTAAGAATTAGATAATCCTCAAAATCGTCTTATTATATGTATATTAAAAACAATTTTTTCAGCATTTTAAAATACATAAAGCTCATTGTACTGGTCTTGATCATGTAGGTCATGCATTTAATGCGTTTCATAAAACAATTAAAGAAAATTAAATGAAATGGATGAAATAGTACGTAATATAATTGATAGAATGAAAGATGATGATTTGTTTATTCTATTAAGTGATCATGGAATGACTGATGATGGAAATCACGGCGGAGATTCAAAAATAGAAACTGAATCTATTATTTTTGGTTATAAAAAAAGCGGCTTTTATAAAAACGATGCTATTAATAATTATAATGATAAGTTTTTAAATGTTGTTGATTAAATTGATATATGTTCAACACTTTCAATGCTTTTGGCAATACCTATTCCATTTAATAATCTTGGAATTATTATTAATGATTTTTACTCTTCTTCTGTTTCTTTAGATTAAATTATCGAGGTATTTTATAAATATTTGTATAAAATATTATTATTACTATATAATATTATATTTTTGTTTTCTTAAATATTGTAATTATAAAAGATATTTTATTTACTATTTAATTTTATTTATAGGATTATTATAATAATCTTATTTAGATAGATAAATATTTGAATAAAATTTAAAATGAATAAAATAAATTTAGTAGTGAAAACTTTATAATTTTAAAGGAAATAATTGAAAATTGTAAAGAAGACTATAAAACAATGTAAAATACAAATTATTAAAATTAATAACAGAAGTAATATTAATAAGAGTTATGGATAAATAAACTTAAACAAAGTATAAATTAAATTAAAAATAATTTAAGAATTTTATGGAATGAATATGATTAAATTTAAATGTATATAGGAAAAATTCAACTAATTTTATGTGTTATAATTGGAATTTTAAATATTTTTTATTTTAAGATATTAAACAATTTTTATAAAATTTCAAAGCTATAAAGCTTTAAATTAAGTGATATTCCTTTTATATATATTATATTTTCTTCCTTGATTATAATATTTATATTTTACTTTATTAACCTTTGGTATAGTATAGGAATTATAATAATATAGCTTCAAATATAAGTTATATTTTTCATTTTATCAGATTTCTTACAAATACTGAAATAAGATAGAAATGTAAAATACTTTTTTCCTATATATTTATGGGATTTAAAAACTGTTTCTTTACTAATGTATCATGCTTATCATGCTTATACTATGCTAGCTATTGGCTTAATGTTGAAAGAAGGTTTTAAATATATGTTTTTAATTATAATTATAATTTTTATTTATACTATTCTAAAGATATAGTTATAGTGCAATAAGTTTTGATTGGTATTATCATAGAAATTGTAATTTAATATAAAGATCATAATTTTATTTTTATTTATCAATATATACGATTATTATTGATTCCTTTAATTATGTATCTTGGATTATATTTAGATGTTGTCACTTTAATAAAAGTATTATCATAAAACTATATTCATTTTTTTTATAAATTATTAAAAAGTATGTAATTCATTAAAGAAAATTCGAATTAATTTAAAAATCTATTAATATTTTGCAGGAATCAAGTATTTTTTAAGGATTAATTTTTATTTTTGTATTTGCTCAATACATAATGAGAAATTTACAAAATAATAAAATAAAAAAAATCATTTATTTGAATTTCTTTTTAGTAATAATATATTAGCTATTAAAAGAACTCTAAATATAAAATTTAAAATATCTAGAAAGAATAGTTTTGCCAAGGATTTCTATTTTATTATTTATAATAAACTTAATTTTTATTATAAAAAGTAATAACAAATCAAGCATTAATTTATTTTTGCATAATATTAATTTATCATCACTTTTTATAATGTTTATTGATAAAAATGGGATTTTATTAGTCGCACTATATCATACCGTAGTAAATTTATATATTGATTATTCTAAGGATCAAAAAACTTTAACTCATCCAAATACTTTTACTTTTTTAGCAATTTTTTCTACTTATTTCTTTTTTATTACAGGTAATTTAAATATATTATTATTTGAATTTATTTTCTTATATATAAAAAGGTCATAGACCAGATATAAGTACTCTGTAAATTTAAGCATGCTTTGTAGGATTAGAAAATAATAATGTCTATATTAGTGGATTTCTTTTACTTTTAAATACTTTTAGTGCTGCATTACCTTCTATTATATATACTTAATATATAGTAAAATTGGCATAAGAAAGCCGTATTTAATATTTATAAATATCAGAGCACAATAAAAAAGATATTTAAATAAAGGATAATTCTTAAAGTAACTCTTTTACTTAAATATGTTATGGTATTATATGCTTTTAAATTCATTTTATTGTTTTGTAAACGTTTACAAGTATAAATTGCACGTACAATTAAAGAGAGCTTATTTTAACTTTAGATGCTGCCCCTAAATATATGTTTGACTTCGCTCAGTTAAGCGTTTATAATGGATTTATTATTATATTTTTAATAATTTAATTTTTTTAAAATTGATTTTTATTTTATATATATATAAAATTATTTAATATTTATATTATATAATTGAAATAAATTTTTTATATTTAATATATATTTTTGTCTTATAAAAAAAAGCTTTTTATAAGATATAAATTTGCTTTAATTTTTATATTAATATTTTTTTATATAAATTAGTATTATATTAATTTGTTATAATTAAAAAGTTATTTTATATATCTTTTAAAAATATTAGATATTTATTAACATAAGATTTACACAATTAAATTAATTTTTTAACTAAAAATTATTATATAGTAATTATTTTTTAAATCTTTAGGAAGTTTAAGTTTTTACATTACATAAATCAATAAATATGATACTTACTTATAGATGTTTTTTTTCTTCTGTATTTTTTTAAAATAAATCTATAAAAAAGATATATAAGAAAAAATAATATATAAAATTTTAAAGTGATAATTTATCATTCTTATATACGATTTGGACACATTTAGGTATAACTTAAGAAATTAAATTAAAAAATATTTGATTGGGTAATTAGAATTGCTAATTTAGCCAGTACTTTTAAAACTCCTTCTGAAGTATGATTATAAAGAGGAAACAGATAAATAAATAAAACTATTAAAATATGGGTTTCATAGGATTTTAATGGCGGCGTTGTTTTATTTGCTTATGGTTATGAGCTTACTTAAAAAGTTATAAATTATGAGAAAAATTAGTTATAGAAGTTGATAACTAAGTTGGTGGATTTCGTAAAACTGACTTGAATAATGGAAGATTTTAAGTTATTTATGAGAATATTTTGAAGGAAGTACTTTACTAATTATGAACTATGCAAAATTAATATGCTATTTATGATTAAACAAACAATCTAATTAAATTAGTAAATTAAAAATTTTGTTTTATAATTTTATATTCAAGTATTAATTATGAATGGGCTAAAAAAGTCATTATGATTAGAAATTTCATACAAATTTGTATAGAAGTGCTAAAATTAATGGAAATTTAAAACTTTAAATTAAAAATTAAAATATAATTTATTAATAATAAAAAAAAACATAAATTTTACATTAAAATAAATTAATTATATATTTTTAATATTTTCTTTTTTAAATATTATTTTTTTAGTTAATGAATAAGTAATTTTTTTTTAAATCACTATATATTTTAATTTTGTATTTTATTAATAATAATAATATAAAATTTGTAATTTTATAAAAAAATTACTTTTAATTAATATTATTTATAGTTTTTTATTTTTAAATTAATATATTCAAAGTTCATAATCTTTAAATAAATTTTATATTATTTTTATTAACATGTAATATGTAATATTTCAAATTTTGGATTTTTAATTTCTTTTTTATTAATTTTAAAAATAGAATTTTATAAACTATATTTATCTTATTTTTATAGGAATTGCTAAAAATTGAAAATTTACAATTTAAGTTAAAGAAAAAAAATATATAAAAAAATAAAAATAAAAAAAATTATAAATTCAAACTAATATAGTAAAACAAAAAATATATTATCCAAACAAATATTCTTATTAATAAAATAAAAAAAAAGTATTTGTAAAAAGAAATATAATAATTAAATTTAATAAGGAAATAATTTTTTATATTTATAGTAATATTTTAATATAATATAACATTATATATTATTAATATACGTAATTCTTATTTATTTTCTAAATTTCTAATTTCAAAATAAATATGAATTTTTCAAAATTATGTTAATTACAAGTTTTTTAAGTTTTTAAGAACGGCTTTATTAAATACTTTTTGAAAATATATTTTTTATATTATGAATTAAAATTATTTAATATAATTTACTATTTTTGTTAAGACTTAATAATATTTTCAGAAATTATATTATTTGAGATTTATAAAAGCCTAATATTTTATTTATTAATATATTTTGAATTAAAAAAAATAATAATAATTTACAATATCAATAAATATATAAAAATATTATCATATTATTATTTATGATATAATTAAAAAATATTTTTATTTTAAACACGTTTCTTATCAAGTTAAAAATAAAATAGTAAATATTATAAAAATAATTAGAAAAAAAAAATATATTTATTAAATCAAAAAACATTTAATATATATTATTTTAATTATTAAAAATAGTTTTTAATTTATATATTAAAATATTATTATTAAAATCAAAATCTAAATAAAGCAAAGAAAAATAAAAATTTATATATTAATTTACTATTTTAAAAAATAAAGCAAAAATAATAAAATAAGAAATTAAATTAAATGGTTTTAGCAGAATTAGGTTAAAAAATAAATAACGCTTTATCCAAATTAAACAATGCTTAAGTAATTGATGACAAAATTTTAAATTAAGTTTTAAATGAAATATCTATAGCTTTATTATAATCAGATGTTAATGCTAAGTTCGTCAAAAAACTTAAAGACAATATTCTCGTCTAATTCAAAATGCAAGAAAGCGAGTCAGTAAATATGAGAAAAATGATCTAATAATTAGTTATAAAAGAGCTAACTGCAATGCTTGATTCTTAAAAAAAGCCTTTTATCCCGAAAAGAGGTCGTCCAAATATTATAATGTTTGTAGGTTTATAGGGTGTAGGTAAAACAACTACATGTACCAAATATGCAAATTATTGGTAGAAAAAAGGTATATTTAAAAATCTTTAATGATATTGAAAAAAATTATTAAAAAAATAAAAGGTTGGAGAACAGCATTAGTATGTGCAGATACATTCCGAGCAGGAGCATTCGATTAATTAAAATAGAATGCCACAAAAATCCGTGTTCCGTTTTATGGAAGTTATTCTGAAACAGATTCATCTATAATAGCAGAAGAAGGTGTTAGAACATTTAAAAAAGAAAATTATGAAATTATTATAGTCGATACATCTGGTACACATAGATAAGAAGCCGAACTTTTTGAAGAAATGAAATTAGTTTCTGCGGCCGTAAATCCTGATGAATGTATTTTTGTTATGGACGGTTCAGTAGGTTAAGCATGTTATGATTAAGCTTCCGCGTTTAGATAAGCAGTTAATGTAGGAAGTGTCATTATTACAAAACTAGATGGTCATGCGAAAGGTGGTGGTGCTTTAAGTGCTGTCGCAGCGACTTAAAGTCCTATTATATTTATTGGTACAGGTGAACATTTTGACGATTTGGAACCTTTTGATCCTTAAAGTTTTATTAAAAGATTACTTGGTTTGGGTGATATTGCTGGATTGTTTTAGAAAGTTACTGAAGTTATAGATGTAAAATAGTAGCCTTAATTAATTAACAGAATTGCCGAAGGATAATTTTCTATTAGAGATTTCTAGAGTTAGTTCAAAAGTATCCTTAAATTAGGTTCTATTAGTTAGTTTATGAGTATGATTCCAGGCTTAGGAAATAGTTTTCTTGATAAAAATAATGAAAAGGAGTCTATTAAAAAAGTTAAAAAATTCCTTTGCATTATGGATAGTATGAACGATTTAGAATTAGACGGAGACGGTAAAATTAGCGAAAAAAGAATCGTGAAAATTGCTTATGGAAGTGGAAATTCTATTGAAGAAGTCCATTCATTATTAGAAGAATATAAAAGACTTTCGAAAGTTTTTGGAAAATTGGGAAAAACTAATCTTGGTAAAGGCAATGATTTTTCTAATATTTAAAGAAATGCGTAATAAATTGCAGGAAAAATGGGCTCTGCTTTAGATCCTAAAATGATATAATCAATGGGAGGTATGGGAAATATTATGAATATTATGAAAGATATGTCTAAAATGGAAGGATTAGGAGAAATGATGAAAGGTTTAGGCGGAGGAAATATAGGTAGTATGTTAGGCAGCTTAGGCGGAAATGCTCTTAGTGGATTAGGAGGATTAGCTGGTTTGGGAGGCGGTGGTGGTAATGCACCTGCTAAAGGATAGAGAATGTAGAAGAAAAGATGATGAAATTTAATATTTTATTATAATAAGAATAATTATATTTAATTTTTTTTATATTTATTTGGGATTAACTTTAATAGTATAAATTATTTTTATCATTTAAATAATCGCTTTTGAATAAATTATTTATTTTAATTTATTATTTTCAAAACATATTTTTTTTTCTAAAATAAGAAATAAATTTTGGATATTAATAAAATTAAACTGAAAATAAATTAAAAAATTGTATCAATTAATTAATAATTAATAAGATTTTTTTAAAATATTTTATATATATATTTTTTCTATGTAGTTTGAAGATAATAATAATCCTATAAAAACTAGCTAGTTTAATATTTAAGGCTTATAATTAGAGTAAAATAACCTGAATATTTTTTCAAATCCAATAGAAGTACATATAAGTGTTTTTTCAACTGTTTTAAATATTTTTATCTCATAAAATAATAAATTTGGATGTATAGTAATTTAAATATATTTAAATTAATTTATATTACTTATTTTTATTTTATATTTTAACTATTTTTATCTTAATTTAATATTTTATTCTAAATTACTTTAAGATTGAAGCTTATTGCGAAAATGTCTAAGATTTTGATAATGATGAAAAAATTTATGAAGTTAAAACTTTATTTGGTTAAAGAGATATAGAAATATATGAATTATTAGGGAGAAGTATTGTTGATTTAATACATAATAAAGAAAGAATTATAAAATATATGACCGATGAATAAAAAAATAAATTTTCAAAATAAAAATTGATTAGTCCATTTTATGGAAAAACCCTAAATTTATATATATAGTTGTAAAAAATAACAGAAGAAAATATTTAAATGTAATTTTTTAATTAAATTATAAATTCATTCGAATAGAAATTTATTAGTTTTATGATGAATTGTTGAGACAAATTCTTAATAATATTTAATTTTTAACAAATATTTTAAATATAATTTTGTATTCTTATATATAATAATATCAATGTTAACAAAATTATTTAGTATTATAAATAAAAATAATTAAATATATTTATTTTAACATATATAAATTAATTGAAATAAACATATTTAAAATTAAATTATTTATATTCGAAAATTAATGTTTGCTTAATTTTAATATTTTTTAACATTTGATAAATCCTGAATAAAATATTGGACTAATAATTAAAATTTATAAAACCTATATATCGAGCAATATAAATTTTTTTTATATTTGGCCTCAGTTAAAATTATTATTTTAGGTTATGGGGATATTAAACTATTTAAAGTTTCTCAAAAGGTTGAAAAATTTACTGTAATAGAGGAATTAGTAATAGCTATTAACTTTAATTAAGGAGATATTTTTTTTGTTTAAATTAGGAAGATCTTTAATATAACGAGGGATGTATGATTTTTTGAATTAAACTATACGGATCTTTAAAGGATTAAATATATAGATAATGTCTCATATTTATTTGAAGTTGCTATATTCTATGAAACTCTTTAGGTTTAATTTTTATTAGAAAATTTCTTTCATTATGTTAGAATAGAGATCTATTTGTTTAATTGATAAAAAAATATAAATTATTTATCAAGAGTTTAATAATTTACTTTTATATTCATAAATAAGAGAAGTTTAATGTCTTATGATGAAAACGATTTGTAAGTTAAAGTAAAATAGCAATACTAAAATTAAAAATTGAAGCCTGCTTCAACATAATTAAAAATTTTCCTAAAGATTTTGAAAAATATTGTATTATGAGAGATAAAATAATATTATACAGTAATTATAAAAATATTATACATAAGTGCTAATTATTTTAATTATATAATAATAGTTTTTAGAATTATTATTATTATTAAATTTTATTTTAATAAACTAAAGTTTTTAAATTAATACAATAAAAATAAATATAATATCTATATAATTTTTTAAAGAAAATGAAAATATATTAGCATATAAGAAGATAAATATTATCCATGAAATTTCAATTACTATTCTATAATTTACTTTTGATTAAATTCATTTAAAAGAAGAAATAGATTTAATTATTTTTAATATAAAAAAATATCACTGAAGGTTTATGGGTTTAATTTAAGGTACTTTTAAGGTGAATACTTAAAAAAAGATTATCGAATCGATATGCTTTATTTAAAATAATATTAATAAAAAAAAGAGGAAAAATAAAATAGAAATATTTATATCAAAATCTATTAATATTTTTGTTTAGATAATTAGAAATTAAAAAAGAAAAAAATTAATTTTTCATACAAAAAGAAATTATAATAACTTTTAAAAATACAAATCCAAATCTATATCAAATATTGTAAACATTTAATAAAAAATTTTAAATGCTAAAAGTTTAACTTTTGAAAGAAAAAATATATATAAATATATCTATTAAAAGTAGTTTTATTGACATATAGGTCAAAATATAAAAATTTATATAAATAAACTTAATAATCAAAAATAGAAAATAAAATATTGTATGTAAATTAATTATTTTAAATAATTAATAGAATCAAATATTGAATAATTTATATAATAATAAAAAAAATAATTATAAATAATATTAATAAATATAATAATTTAGTTTTTTAATTTATATTTGAAAAAAAAATAATTAAATATAATTTATTATTAAAGTAAAATAATTAATTTTTATATAGGTGAGAAAATATATATTGTTATTAATTTTAATATTTAATAACAAAAGTCAAAATAAAATATATTTCTATTAATAATATTTTTATTTTAAAATTTAAATTATAAAAATAAAAATTAAATGTATCTTCCTTCATTTTATAAAACATTTCATGAAACGAATGCCTTTAGAATTAAAAGATATTCAGGCTTTGGTGTTCCTATTTTTATTTGGGGTATTTAAAGAGACATTTTTATATATTTTTAATAAAAAAAGCTTGTTGGACATTATCACCTGCACTTTATAACATGATATATACTGATTTCATCCCTCCATAAAGAGGTAATAAGAAAAAAAAAAAAAGATTAATAATAAAAAAAAATTTAAAAGGTGTTGCCAAAAGAATTGTAGAGTGAAGGTTATAAATAAAGAGATAATAATTACAAAATATTAAATTATTATTATCAATTATTAGAATTGTTTTTTATTATATTTTTAAAAATACTTTTATTAATATTAAATCAATAAAAATATTAGCAAATCCATTAATATTTTTACATAATTATAAAATAGTATAAGAAAATAAAATATTATTATATAATATAAAATATAAATATCATATTATATAAGTAAAATATTATTTATAAAATAAATAATATGTATATATATATATATATATATATATATATATATATATATATATATATATATTATTA